ACTTGTTTATGTTCCAAAATGACGGAAATGGAACTGATGCTTTAGGTTCTGGTTCAGACAGACGTTCTTTGTCTGTGTGGATTTGCAGGTTGTCCGTTGAGTAATGGAAGTGTGAGTTGTTGTTTGCCTTTATACGTGGCCCTCTGATGAACTGGATGAATGTGAAGGATGGAGTCTACTTAAGGAATCATTAGTACATTTAAATACACTTCCACCAGTAGGTGGCAGAAGCTGGCTATATCAACTAAAAAAAAATAAGGCTCAAAACTGTTGAAAACGATCTCTGTGTTGGCTTTCCTTAATTCCTGTGGGTGTCTTAGCATAGTGTTCAACTAAACAGGTCCAGGTTGGTCGTGTGCTTGGGACGTTTTTTGATGTAAAAGGTTGGGGAACACGAATGAATGAGTGAATGGGCGTCAAGTCAATTGGGAATCCTCGATTTCTTCTACCTTCCCTAATGCGGCGATAACAAATACAAATCCACTTTTGTCATATTTGTAACTTTTATTTTTTTTCTGGCATGTAAAGTACAAATAATTAAACAATTCCATGAAAAAGTCTTCAAACGTCTTCAGCTGAAATCCCAGTAATAAATATCTTAGACTAAATTGAAAGGGTTTTTTTTTCTTCTTCGTCTTCTTCTTCTTCTTCTTCATTTGTTAAATTTCGACATTGTTCATTTGGTCATGTTTAGAAGTGTGAAATATTGTTCCTTTACCTGCGGATAGTGACGTCAGCAGGACTGGTTTTGATCATTTTTCAACTTTTTTCTCTTTTTTTTTTATTTGTTCTACCATTCCAGGAAATGTAAGAAAAAACATCACTAAGTCACTGCATCCCCCCCCTCTGCTAAATAAATAGACACAGAATACAGTTGGCTGAGGAACAGAAAGAACCACTCACCCCCTTCACTACCCGAGAGACTCCCAAGAAACCTTCCTGCAGCTTTTCTCAGGTCCGTTAGGCTTTGCCAAAAGTGCTTGGTTTGGTTTTCAAAGATCTTTTTTTTTTCCCTTCAGTTGCACAAATTGATATGGATTTTTTTTTTTCTTGTTTTCGTATGACCTCAGACTTCAAGTCATTTAAAAAAAAAAAAAAAAAAATGGTTTAACCCTTTCAATTTATCCGTCTGCTTAAACAGGAAAGCATCTTGAGAGTCTGCCAAAAGTCAGGATGTCTCTGTTACCGCTGGACCTTCAAATGGACCAGTGTCTCGCTTCAGGGACTGTCCATTGTCTCGGGGGGCGTGGGGGGAGTTTCCAGAGTGGTTGGAAAAAACAAGACTGTGATTAGATTAAATAATTAAAAAAGATTTTCATTCAACAAGACAAACAGAACACAGGCAGTAAAGGCATAACATCTAGCACACAGCATGTATGTTTATACACTTCAATTCGTTAAATATAGCAGTGCATTCTTTGACTATGGAGAACGTTTTTTCAAATCGTACTTCTAAAGCTGTTTTTTTCTATTTGTCCCCCTTTTGTAAGAAACAAAATGGTGTAACCACAATTTGGCAAACTGAAATTCTTTTAAACTTGCAAATGTAACCAAGGAAACCATAAATATACACAAAACATACTTTATACGAGGCAATAATCATAATCGTAATAATAATAATAATAATCATAATAAATAGTTTTTTTTAAGTTAACAATAAGTTAAAACTACAAGCTTAAAGTCGCCCCAAATAATACAAGTTTGTTGGCGCTATTTTGAAAAAAAAAAAATTTTTTTTTCTTTCCGTTTAAATTATTCAATGTTGCAACGAAAGCTATCACAGACGTTTACGAACACAACTGAACACAGTTTAATTGAAATCAAAGAGTCTAACTAAGTCTAAAATCTGCATACACCGTCAAAACTGCAACTAAGTAATGGAAGGAGAAAACAACAACAAAAAAAAAGAACAAACTGTCCCCAATCAATGCAACCGAACATAGTGACCCATGTGTGTGTGTTCCCTATGGCAACATCCAAAACACAAATATGCTAATTTAAACAACCGAGTGTCGATATAGCAACGATATGAAAAGAAAAATCACAGGAAAAAAAAAAAAAAAAAAAAAATGAGATGTGAAACTGACGTGGGCTTAAACTGATGTTGTATCAGAAAATATTCCTTTCAGGGCGTTCGCTCCGTCGATTCATCCGAATACGCAATTAGTTTGATCTCGCACGGTCATCGAGCTAAAATTAGGGGCTGAGGAAGTGAGCGTGGAAGCTTGGTAGATCTCATCGTTTGTTTGTTGTTCATTTTCCAATGTTTTCTTGAAGGAATCTGCTGCTCAGTTTTCTTTCTTTGCTTTTCTCGAACTTTTTGCTCCTTTCGCCGTCCCGGAAACCTTTCAGTGTCACATTTAATTCATTTTTTAAAAAATATATATCATTTGTTCTTAGTCAATATAAAAACAAAGCACATTGCACTAACTGTTCCATAGGAAATTTTTTTTTTTTGTCTTTTTTTTTTTTTTTTTCATATTTGATTATTGTCGTTTGCCGAAGCAAAACTGTTTCCTGCCTCGATCCTTCTCCCTGCTGTGAATCTGGGGGGGAAGAATGTTTGTGGAAGGCCGTTTTTGTTTTTTTTTTTTGGGTTGTGGGCTGTGGGTTACATCTGTGGGGTATGGGCCTTTTCTGTACTACACCTGACACCACTGGGTAAACAGCCTTAGCTGCACACGGCAAAGAAATCCCTGTCGTTTCCAACATCTCTCGCGAGTCTCTAGACGCTACGTACATCAGAGAAGGAAGTAACATCCTGTACAAAATAAGGTCCCAGGAAGCCGATAACAAAATCTCTACTGGTTTCCGAAGTAAATCCGTATGAAATCATATCAAATCTGTTTGTTTTCACTTATAAATCTACAAGGAAATGCAGGCTGTTTCCGTCGAAAAAGAATTTTTTTTCAGGTTTTGTCCTCAGTTATGTGTCTTAACTAGGGATGTCCGTTATCAACTTTTTGCCGATCTCCGATGTACCGATACCGATATTGTCCGATTCTTAATTTGTCGTCATTTCCGATTGCGATTTCAACCGATACCGATATATATGCAGCCATTTGCGGTAAACGACTCAAGTGATTCAAGAATACGTGGCGAAACCCATTTCGAGTTTTCATTATCGGACGAAAATCCGATAACGCTTCATATCAACTTTCTGCCAATATCCGATATGCCGATATTGTCCAAACGCTTAATTTCCGATTCCGATATCAACCCAATATACGCAGTCGTTTGTCCCCAAAATTGCGGTAAAAGTCTCAGGACACTACAAGCGATTCCAGCATGTTAAACTAAGACATTGCGTTACAGGGTTTTCATTATCGGAGGGAAAAAAAACGATAACGGTTCTTACAGATGTTACCTTAAGTATGCTAATATCGGACATCCCTAGCTTTCCTTGAGTTCCTCGAATTTACATATACTTACTAATACATACGGAGTCATTTTTGAAACCAGTGGAGCTACTTCTGTTCGACAACCCTATTCGCGCAACCCTAGCTTGCAACGAGACCTCCGCGTCCGTTTCTGATATGTGGTCTACGGACCATCAAGTTATCAGCCCCGCTCCGCGGTCGACTGCGTTTCCCTCCTTACCCAGACAGGTAGACGTGTCAGCAGCGGGTTAGTCCGAGAGTTTTTGAGGGCGGATCTGTACGAGTTGAACGTATTAGGTTTTGGAAGGTTTGCATTGTTGAGGATTTTAAAGGATGAAATCGTTCACAAGAAAAACACATGATGCGAATGCCAGGGGGGTTTACGTTAAAGGAAGCCTTTTGCTGTTTTGTTTTGTTTTTTTTTTCCTTTGTCGAGAAGTTTGATATGCGTTTTTTATATCCTTTGATTAAATGTGAAATGTTGGTAAATGGGAATGCTCGCAGCTGTTCCGTGTTAGAGTTTGGTTGTTTTAGGACTCACAAAAACTGATATGCGCAACTTAGATATTCAAAAAGTAACAATAAATGAAATCGTCGAAAGGGTTCCTTTACAATAAATAACATAGATTTGTACACCGTTTCTTCGGGGAATGATATAGTAAGCCTTAATTATCCGTCTTCGTACTGACTTGCGAAGCAATTCTTTGGCAAAAAATGAAATCTACCTAAACTCGAAAAAGTCATGCTCGACGTTTTGCGTTCGGTCGGTGAAATCGTTTCGGGTGTTGGTTCTGGAAAGATAGATTTGTTTTTTTTTTGTGATCGCAAGCAGCTTTTTTTTCTTTTTTTTCCTGTTAACTTTTTCGTCCGGATTGCGAGCTCGTCCGGCTGCAGCTGTGATTTCTGGGATTCCCGAGTCTAAGAACTTCACCTCACTGCACCATCTTTGAAGAAACACTGTACACAATTTCAGGACAAGAGCTACGGGGTGTGTCGAAGCAATCTGGAGTAATAGTAGGTCGACATCGGTCGGGTCATCGGTCCCACCGACTTGAGACCCCAAAATTTTTGTACTGCGTGTTTTAAATTCTTTCCCGTAGGCTTGAATGCTCAGGTTCATGTCAGACACAATGTTCCCTCACCACCTCCCTAAATCCCCACCCATACACCGCATGCTTGCCCCGCCCCCTCCCCCCCCCCCCACCCCCCCCTTAACACAGACAGAAAGCTATGCGATGTCCCAATTTTTCCAAGCTTAAGAATCTGTAAAAAGTCAGCACAAGGTCTTGTTCTTTTTGTATGTATAAAAATAGATTTATCTTTAGTGTAATCCTTTCAAAGAGATCGTCCTCTTTGGCTAACACAGCATTAAGAAAAAGCAAAAGCAAAATGTCTTGAATATAGTCGACCTTATTTAGTCTATTATCATGTGCAGATGCCTCGTCAGCGAGAGACGGCTCTCTCTGTGGTACGCGGTGAGTCGGGTCTTTAGAAGACGTTTCGTCTTGACAGGACGCTCTTAAATCTTTCATCAGGGCGCCAAAAATAAATTTTTGGTGCAGGGGAATATTTTCGAAGGGGTGGTGGGGGGTGGAAAAAGAAATACTATTTTTGTAGTAATGTTTGACTGGCTTTCCAGTTCTTGCCAGAATCGTACGCGGGTGTGACATCGTGTGTTTTGAGTCCTGTTGTTGTTGTTGTTGTTGTTTCGTACAGTTGTTTTCAGAGAGGTCAGAATCGAGGGGGGGCTTCAAATGAAACCGATGAGAAACGCAAGCGGTTGGTTTATCCATCCTCAAAGGATCGTCGATAAGCGTAGCTGTGTCGGGTATCATCGCTCGCGCGACTGCGACTGCGACTCCTCCCCGGTCTGCTGTAAATGTGCAGCCGTTAGGGACCGCGGCCTATTTTATCTGCTCGATGGATTACTCGTACGGCAGAGGCCACTTTTCTTCTTTTCATTTTTTTTTTTTTTTTTGCTGAAATGCAAAAAAATGTTGACCTCATTTGCTCAGTTAGCTCCTATCTGCGCGTTCAGCCAAGAGAACGATACCGGTGCTGTGGCTTCTTTTGCTCATTTATGCAGACCTGTCTAGACCTTGTTCAGTGTTGTTCAGCCCATTGTTTTCTGAGTAACTTTTTTCTTTTTTTTTTTTTTTTTCCCTTTCCCCCCGCAGCTTTGAATCCCTATTATGCGACAAGCACAGCAGCAGTCGACGTTCGGAAACAAACTCAATCTGTTCCCGTCGACTCTTCATTCACGCGATGAAACAAACCGGATCAAAGGCCGTCGAAGCCATGCAAACTCGTACTGCCTCGAACGACAATATCGACTAATGTGCAATTGTTTGGTTTTTTTTGTTTTTTTTTTTGAAAACGACGCAAAATTGGCCAGGACACCGGTAATTTTTCTCGCTGTTTCGTGACTGCCTCTCTCTCTCTCTCTCTCTCTCAATTTTAGCTTCTCGTCTCTCTCTCTCTCTCTTTTACCCACTCCAGAATTGCTAATGAACGCCGTCACCACGCAAGTACTGCCCGTCTGCTCGGAGTTTACAGACACAACCCGTATGCCTTGACTTCATGTGGAGGATAGACTCAGAAAACATCCTGTATCTAGACTTTTTGCCGCCGACAATCGCACTTCTCGCCCTAACGCTGACAGCCACCGCAAACGCTCTTTTTCCGGCGCCGGGTTGAAATTTGACGGGGGGGTTAGAGAAACTGCCTGTTGTTTAAGCTAGGCACCAGCTAACGCAGGTCAGGAAACAGTAGTCAAAAAGTTTCTAGAAAATGCTTACATACTTGGCTATTATGACCACCTTAAATATTGAATATATAGTTATATTTCAATAGACGTATATAAGAGAACACTGTGTGTGTGTTTTTTTTTTTTTTCCATTTACTTTTCTTTGATCTAAAAAAATTGCTGATTCAAAATTCTTAAAGTGTAAAAAAAGTGACTTCATCCACTCCAGCAGGAAGGGTTGGAGAGATATTGGGGGGGGGGGTTAGGGGGGTAAGAGTTTGGAGGGAAAATTGCACATATTTGTTCGTTTAGATTTTTTTCGCTCATTTTTTTTTTTTTTGTTCGTCGTCATTTGCCTGAATTCAATCAATGAGCGATCGGTACACATTCCGCGGAAAAAACAAAACAAAAACTGCGCTCACACTCGCGACCCGCCGGCAAACCGGCTTTGGGCGCCTTCTAATTCAATCCAGGCAAACGGAGGGGAAGGACTAGCATGTCGTGTGAAGAGGGAGAAAAAAAAAAAACGAAAAACTCCACTGGTGTGTCGGTTGAAAAACTCTCACGTGTGTATGCCCCGCGTATGGATATGTTTGGCCACGTGTGTGTGTTCGGGTATGTGTCTCTGTGATTATCTGCATGTCTTTGCTCTGCGATAATATACTTTGAATTTGTGTAGAAATGTTTTAGAGAGAGAGAGAGAGAGAGAGAGAGAAAGAAAGAGAGAGAGAGATAGAAAGAAAGAGAGAGAGAGAGTCAGAGGTCGGCCAAGAGACTCAGTCCAGGCCGGTTTGTGGAGTGACAAAACAGGAAACTCAGTCTGCTCCCCCCCCTCCCGCGGGTCGAAGTCGTCGGCGTCAGGGTCGGCCTCGCGCCCTCGCTCGCTCGCTCGCTCAGGCCTTGTGCTGCTTGCTGGTCTTGAAGGACACCTGCAGCACGCGGTCGCCCAGGCGGTAGCCGTTGAGGCTGGCGATGGCCATGGCAGCCTCGTCGTAGTTGGTCATGGTGACGAAGCCGAAGCCCTTGCATTTGTTGGTGGTGAAGTCACGGATGACCTTGACGTTGGTGACGGCGCCGAACGGCCCGAAGAGCTGCCACAGGACGCTCTCGTCCGCCTCCGGGGACAGGTTGTACACGAAGATGCACCAGCCGGCTCCGGTCGGACCGGTGAGGTTGACGCCGGCCAGGCTGGTCATGCTGTCGATGGTGATGGGCGAGAATCTGGGGAAAAGAGCAGGAGAGCTACCATGGGTGTCATTCTGAAGTTCTCCGTCACATTCTCTGCTCTACACTGCCCCCTGTCGGTCCGAAATGATAAGGCTGGCGCACAGGGCACTGGAGTTCGGGGGGGACTCCACCTGCATTGTCCTGTACGCGGGCATCGCACAGTTGGCACCAAAAGTACCCGTTTCGTACGGATCGACAATCCGTACGAAACGGGTACCGTGCGGGAGTTTCCCCCCCCCCTCCTC